TTAGTTTCGTCACACCAACAATCTTTCAACAAAACCACTATTATGTCGCTTGTATCAAGGATAATGTCTTTCGGTCAATATCTAGCAACTGTAATCATAAGCCATGACAAACGTAACGAAAAATTTTAAGACTGATTGCCTCGTCATACTACATCAACTCACAGTATAAACGCCAACAGTCGAGCATTTTCTGGACTACCCGGTCAAACTTTGCGGCTCACTGCTGTACAACGCTCAACTTGGCTTTGACATCTGCCTGTGACAAGAAAATATTCTAAATTGCATAGCCGGTGTGCATAGTTGACAGCTATGGAGCATGTCCATTGGTTGGGGATGGGTTATGACCTCCAAAGACATGAAATTAGCTACAACAAATAAGTAGTCGCGGTAAGCGGCGATTTTGACACCTCCCTCCTTAGAAAATTCAATACCAAATGATCGTGTAATGATGAAGTGAAAACCACCCTCCCATATGAGAAAAAATGACCCTGCTGTTAGACGTCAATTAGTCAATGGTTAGAAAAGACAACTTCGATGAAAAAGCCGGACGGAACAGGGAGGAGGCGGAATCATCAATTCGAAACCCCACTATCAGTCATGCCAGCAGGTGGCAAAACTTCGCCCCCTCCCCCACCATGACAACACAGTGTTACGGCCCGTGCGTTTCGTCGACGATTACTGATCGGTCCAGTTGATATCGAGAATATATTTAATCGCCTGGTGTGCGCTTCAACCGTTAACATATTTAAATACATATGCGAGTTTCATATCGTAGATTTAATCGTGAAATGACGTTGACATCATTTTACTGAATGATATTCAAAATATTATTAATAAATAGATTAATTAAGAAAAAACTATGCTATACTTAGCATTCGGTACGAAGTTCAATTATTCAACTTGAATTCAGATACTCTTGATTCCAGAAAATTTGCACGACGATTTACAAATGTACGTACAGAACATACTCTGTCATTGCGATAGTAATATAAATAGTAGGCGCAGACGCAAAAAATACACAACCCAATTCAATTACAGAAAAAAGTTAAATAATAAATACATTAACTTAAACGAACTTGCACACAGAATACAGACCTACTTGTTGCTGAACAGTAAAAAGCAACAACCAGGACTGGACACGATAAACTTAATGACATCAGAGCAAAAAATCTGAGCATAAACCCTCCGTTATGTGTACAGTACGCACGAGCAGAAGCCGCCCAAGGACTCGTCGCAGCAACGATGGAGGCAACGACGAACTTTCGGATAAACGCAATACATTGCTGGTGAGACGCGAACACCCGAAAATAACAGAATAAGGCACGACGACGGTGTCTGAATAAGTTGTGGCTGGACGACAGAATATGGCTGGCGAGCAGTCTGCTGCTATTCGGCTGTGCTGCAGATGCTTTGAAGATGATGAACTGAGACAATGGCGTCGAAGACACTCGTTCGTTTGAGTACACTGCTAGCTACATCCTACGGAATGACAGCCTCCATGGCCCGGTATAAACGGGACAGCGCCTGCATGTGCAGGGGAAAGCAGCTGAGGCGATCGCCGGTCCTCATGTCTAGCGACAGCCAAGATAAAGCATTGTACGTCTCCAGTACGTAACGAAGCACGTCCGTCGTCAGGTTCGAGTCCAGTGGGTGCGCGCATCCGCCGCTGTTATACCTGCTAGCACCTCCGGGCAGCAGCTGATCATCACTCTGTTGCACACCGGATGTGTTGATATGCAAAGCCGAGCGTAAAGGGACAGGAAGCAGGTACTGTGCTGACGGTCGGGCGGTCCAGAACCAGTCAGGCAACGGCCCAGATGGAGCAGTAGATACCAGAAATCCAAGAGCCAGCGGCTGCAGCTGGATACTTTCATCAGAAGTGTCCGGTAGCGACAAAACCTGAAAACAATAACGGGTTACAAAAGCAAGAAGCATCAAGAATGAAATACTAACATTAATGTCCACCACTACACGTCGGAAACGAGAAAATGAATTACTGCATTCTGATTACTGTATATCGTGACGATATTTACATCGAATCATGCGTCAACAAAGAAATTTTATTGAATTGCACACACATTTCAATTACTATATAGAAAAGGTTGACGGATTCGAAACTATAATTCGAAGCTCCACCATAATTTAAGACAAAATAAACAAATTTGATATACATTCAATGTCACTGATAAGAACTACAAACAAGAACCTGCGATATCATTGCACAAGTGAAGAAATTAAATTAGCAATGGACAGAACACGTTGCTAGAGGAACCGATCATTTCTGGTCGAGAAAGGCAATAGCCTGAATTCAAAGAGAGGGTAAACGGCCGGTAATAAGATCTCCACCTCGACGGTAGGAAGAACAACCGTAGAAGTTCATTCGATGAAGATGGATAAGAATAACAGAAATCAGGAGTTAATAGCAACGTCTTGCTGATGTCTTTATTCATAAACGTATGCAAAAGGTCAGATGATAATGATGATATACGAGAACTTAGATAATTCGAAAAAGCTCGATGGCTGGTAATTTAAAAAAACTAGGCCCGTGATCATGATGTCAACACATTTGAAAATTCGAATTAAAATTTACGAAAAATGCATTTCATTTCATTTCATTTCACGCCGATCTACCAGTTATTACTATTTAGCGTTCATTAAGTAAATAATGATTAACTTGCAGTTAGAGGTACAATTTTCGGCAATAAATGACAGGAGTATCGCGACGAAAAGCCAGTTTCCATCTTATGTAATGAAGATTGATATGGTCTGACCTCAAATGCATTTTATACACATTCACAACCGAAGAACGTACGAGGGAACGACTGCTTTTTGCTTCATATGTAAAAGATTTGGACATATAACGCGACTTGCAGGGCAAGAAAATCGCCAGAAATACAAGAGCCAAACTTTCGACTACTTTAAATGCCACTGCATTTTTGACTGAACTGAAGATTTAAAAATTATTAGTAGCCGTAGCGTGCTTAAATGGCCACCTAGGTGACTAGAAGCAAGGGAACGGTGTAATACGCAGTTGGCGCAAACTGTGAAATAGGCTTTTCTTTCTTTACACTGTGCATTTTCGCCGTTTCAATCGGGTATCATTATTTTAATATCATAAAATTACGTTTTACGATGCATTTCTATTGTTTACTCCATTAATGTAGTACGTTCAATTTTGAAAATAAATCAAACGAAACTAACTTCACCATTACAATTTAAGATAGTATATATTCGTTGTTTGTTTGTTTTAATGTAATAAACAGCTCGTATACTTTATCGCACATTGCCAGTTAATCAGGATATAAACCAATAAAAATCTCCACAGTCGCTAAAATTTCGAACAAACTAAATTGACGGCAATGCTATGAGTCAAACTTTACCTAACGCTTAAAATCATCCCTGATGAATATCTGACTACCAGACAGTGGATACTACGACTTTTCGGCAAATAAAAAATGATTTGTCCAACAGTTTACAGAAAAGGACGAAATAAGTTCCAACCCAAATCAACGATGATTCAAGGAAAAGTTCTAAATTGAAACCGCTGATGGTGCAGAAGTGCATTGATTAACATATTCCCCATGAAACGAAGTACTCTTTTATATGATGAAAGGTAGAAATACGTTCGTGCCTAAAATGATCTCGTGTCCTTGTGAAAAGACCACTTTTAGAGGCATGTAACGGCGGCAGCAGGTTGGATGCGTATGATTTTGTGGCCGTGGAACGGAACAGAGTATCCAGAGCGTTTATTGCACCTGTCTGGGTTTCCAGTCGTACAGCTTCACACGGCAGAGCTGGTAGTAGGCTAGAAAATGTATAACCCGGTTGCCGGCCTTAGTCGATCTATGACCATTCGGCGCAGGCCGTTTCAGCGCCGACTGATAGTCGGTATCAAAGCGTGCAATTGAATGAATATGACTGGATTACGGTCAGCTCGATCAACTGTAATATCGAAGCCAACAAGTTATATATCTATGAGAAGCTCTTC